GGCAATTAGTGGCTTGCTAAGAGTAAGATGTCGCCGGCAGAGGCGGGGATCGGCCGACGCGGGAAACGTCATAGTCACATATTGTGTTTGCACCCTAAAAATTTAATTTTACCAGTTGATTTTCGTATTTATTTTAACATTAGATTGCCTGTACATTTTTAAGCCTTCACACAAAATTTGACACGAATCGATCATAATCAGCGGTAAGAAGCGCGGTGCAAAGATGGGACCGTCCCGCGCCGGCACAGTCTACCATTCAGGCGGCAACGGCCGGCGCCGGCCGCCGAGCCGCTCCGGCAGGAATGTTTGACTTTACACCGCTATTAGGTACTAGAAAAGTTGTGGACTGATTTACCTATTTCTTGCACGGGAGGATTTGCAATTCGATTCTGGACAGATACGTAAAGTTTGACGTTAATATAATAATTATGGCGTGAGTTATTGGCGATAAACAGGTGGAGTTGGCGAAATCGGCCCCTTCCACCACCCGTGCTACGTTGCACTACTTGTTGCTATATCATCCGAAGTTATCGTTGGCCCACTCTAATTTTCTCAGCACGTGTGCCTTACGTCTAGTGGAAGACAATATCTAAATTTGAGCAAAATCGAAGGGTACCCATTTTTCACAAATTACATTTTAAGAAATACATTCAAAATAAAACAAATTCAAAATCACCAAAAAATGTAAAAATTGTCAAATTTTACTAGCATAACTCCTTATGTACACGTTTCAGTTTGTTTGAAATTAATAGCTTCAAAAATGTTGAAGCTATAGATCATTCAAGATTGCAATACACGTCCAATTCTGCTAAAAAAGCAGAAGTTTAGCGACTTGTATCTCTGTAGCCCGAGGGCATATGACAAAATCCTTTCACCCTCGGAGGTTTCACCCAATAGCCAATAAGTATACCAAGTTTGAACAAAATCGCAGAGGTGGCCGATTTTGGCTGTCCCGGTTGACATGGAATGCCCCCATGGCAACACAACGAGAGAATAGCCTAGCGCGAGCGGCTAGGTTCCGTTTACAAAGAAGGACTTTTTGTTTATGTTCGTAACTGATTTTCGGGGAAATGATGAACGTTCATGATCTGGATGCATATTCAGTAGGATGCTATTAAATAACGCTGCTGTGCTCAGGGACGGCGCCACGGATTTCGCCTTGCGGGGGCAGGTTTTCAGAAAAAGGGCCCAAACAAGATGGGGGCCCAAACTTTCCGAAATATCGTCAATACCGTCAATACTATGCAAGCCTTTATTTGTAGGTACCTTGACCTACAATTCCCACAACCGTTGCCTTCTACACAATAACTTTTGTGTTAAAAGACACCCTCTTAACCCTCGCCCGTATTCGGGTTTTTCCAGCCACGAACGTATGGGAGCGGGAGTTCGTTGGGCGTTGGGCCCGCCCTAGCCGTTTCGCCCCTGATCAAGCTAGACCTTCGCAGAAAAAAAACGAACGTGCTGCCCGTGACGAGAGGAGGCCGATGATACCCAATTTTAAGGTCCTTGGTCATCGGCTAACCTTCCAGCAGTGTTCGCCATGGGCCGGGCCAGCCCAATGAGCCATGGGCTGGGCTGGGCTCTCAAATATGAAGGATTGATGGGCTGTGGATGGGCTGGGCCAAGAACTCAGAACTGTAAAGTGGAGTCAGGGATTCGCGATTGAGACAAAAACTATAACTACATGGCTTATTACATACTGTGCAAGACTAAAAAAAAACGAGTTGAAGTAAAGCACGCATGCAATGTGCATTGTTCATGCTGCTCGCAAAATGTTGTTTCTTTGCTACCTTTGGATCCCTGTGAGGTGTCAATAATTTTTAATCCATTCATTTTTGATGGGCTGGGCCGGGCTGGGCTTCGACGCTTTTACCATGTATGGGTTCGGGCTGGGCCGGGCTGTGAACCCATGGGCCTGGGCTGGGCTGGACTGGGATTTTGCGGCCCGTGGCGAACACTGCCTTCCAGGTCAGGTCAATGACCTAAAAGTCGTGAAAATCGGGACATGTTAGAACGTCGTAAAGGGTGGCTGCAGTCTTCATGCATTTAGGCCAGGTCGGGTCAGGTCAGGTCAGGTCCACTAGTAAGAGTTTTGCTGGGTATTCGTAGTAGGTGATAACCGCCTCTGAAAGCTTCGTAACATGTTACGAAGGCACCAAAATTACTTCATAAATGTTCAAATGGTTGCTAAATTCGAATTCAGCTCCAAAAACTAGCTTAGAGACATGTAAAAGTCGAAAAAGTGAACCGAGATCATCAAAGGTCAATGACCTGACCTGACCTTCAGGTGACCTAGACACCCACCCTAATGCAGGGGAGCAATATCATATCCCACGTTTGAACGCTTGAAACCACAAAAAGACTGCAAACGTGCGGCTAATGCGAGCCGACATACGCTGAATCGCCACTCCGGCCAAACATGGTCTCGAAAAGTATGTCGCAGGTCAAAGGTCGTTAGAGTCAGGGTCATGAAATTTTTAGGATAGGTGTAAAATTGATTAACGCGAGGGTACTAAAAGTTTCGTCGCGATCAGCCGCTCTTTACGCGAGTTATTCGCGAAAAACCGAGGGGGTCCGTTCGACAACAGGCAAGACATTGTTCTTGTGGTAACATGAATGGTCTTTGTTATTGGAAGCTGTTTACACTTTACTATCCTGACCAACGAATTCCACGTAAACAACCTGAATCAGCCTGAGCAGCCAAATTCTAAAGAAAAGCGTATTTTCAATACTCGAGTTTATCATGCCCCACCTCCCGGCTGGAAAGTGAGACGGACAGTGGCTCAAACAGGAGCTCGGCTCGACAGGGCCGGCCCAAAAACACCGGTACACACATGACACACGAGCGGCGCCTCGGGTAATGCCCTTAGGTTGACCTAAAGGCCCTCGCATGAGTGATATGGGCCCTCTCAAGTATGGTACAGTTGACCCCGAAGGTTGACCGGCGGCCAGGGTTTAGTGCTAATCGCGGGCAATTTCGATATCATAGGAACCCTATGTTCCTATGTTTCCCCGAGACTGGATATGGGCCCTCTGAGGTCTCGAATGGGCATTCGGAGACCTATTACGCCCCATTAGGCCTAGTATGGACATTCTGAAGCCTGGTATAGGCACTTTGTGGCCTGATACGGGCTTTCCGAGGTCTGTTCGGGTCTATGCGGCCTGACATTGGCCTTCTGAGGCCTTGTAGGTGCCCTCTACGGACTGGTCTGGGCCTTCGGAAACCTGTCAGGTCCCCATTAAGTCTATTATGAACCTTCTAAGGCCTAGTAGAGGCCTCAGAGACCTGACTTGGCCCCTTGATACCTGATGTGGTCCTTCTGAAGCCTGGTTTGGGCCCCTGAGGCCTGGTGTGGGCCTTCTGAAGATCGATAGATCCTCAGTTTGGCATGGCCATTGGAGCCCGGAAAAGGCTCTTTCTTGACTGGTAGGGACCCTCAGAGGCTTGATATGGGCCTTTTTATACTACTAGGGGCTTCTGAGGTCTGGTATAGACCCTCTCAGACATTCTAAGAACCTTACCAGACCTTTCAATGGCCCTCTCAGCACTGTTGTTGGCCCTCTAATGACTGGTATGGACCCTATCAGGCATGATACGGGCCCTCCCAGTTCTTGCAAGGGCCCACTCAGTACTGCTGCAGGCCCTCACATGAGTGGTATGGGCCCTCTCAGGTATGGTACGGGCCCTCCTAGTCATTGCAACAGTCCTCTCAGTGCTGCTGGGGGCCCTTCCATGATTGTCATTGACTGACATAACCCTCAGTAATATGTCAGGGTACGGGACCTCACATAACTTGTGGTGGCCCCCTCAGTACTTTTATTGGCCCTGCTGTGGGCCCTCGAAGTACTGATATGGGCCCTGTCACGGCTGGTATGGGCCCTCTCAGGTATTTTACAGGCTCTCGCACTCCTTCCAAGGGCCATCTCAGCACCGCTGCGGGCCCTATTATGACTGGTATGGGCCCTCTCTTTCTCAGGCATAATATGGTACCTCCCAGACCTTGCCTGGGCCCTTTCATATATTGAATGGGTCCTCTCAGAAGTGGCATGGGCCCTCTTTGGCGCGGGCCCTTTCTACAGCCTGGGAAGATAGGACAGGGCCACAATCACCCAAGATACAAAATAAATGATTTTCTTTCACTTTTTTTTTTGCTAAATTGGGCCCTTTTCCAAAAAACATGGGCCAAAGCCCGTAAGTTTTATCTTGGCGGCGGCACCTTGAGAAGGCCCCCTTTGGCTTGATTCCCCACTCCTGAAGTCATTTCTACAGCTCTGCCCAGAAGTCTTCTTTCTGCACAGCCAGAGAGTATTCCTTCCATGCCTGACCTGCTGGCTGAAAGAGGGCCCCAGTGTTCAGAGTTGGGGGGGCGGCTGCCCCCCCCCCTGCCCCCCTGTGGCGCCGTCCCTGGCTGTGCTTCCAGATTTAGTACACCAGCCGTCATTTCTTGCTGCTCGAACGTCTGGCCCGTGCCCTCTGACCTATGACCTTTGACCCATAAATGTCTGTTACCGACAGTCTTTCCTCCCACACAGGCTATGTCGAGACGCCAGACGGCTGAGAGGACCAACAATCAAATCCCAGAGGAGGGCTCGTGGCGTCTTGCTCAACAAAGACCGCCCGCTGTCGCCCCCGCTGCCGCTACCGCCCTGCTTTCGAACTCCTCTGTCACAGAATTGAGCCACCGCCCCCCAATTTGCCACACGTGCAATTGTTGGTCCTGAATACTCCGTGACAGCGCCGCAGGCAGATTGATCAGATACGACCCGCACGCGCGCCGTCAACGCTAATGGATAGCACCGCAACGGCATGGATGTGGCATTTTCTTTAACTGCATTGTAATTGGACTAAACGCCGGGCAATCTTGGCCGGTCGCCCGCCAGCTGCCGGCGTCTCGACCAATCAGCGAGCGCGTTACAGCCGGCCGCCGGCCGCACGCGCTACGCCGGCCAGGGACAGCCAGGGAGCCTCTGCGGGACAGATACGCCGCGGACGGCGCGGGGTTTGAACGGTTTTGGTTCGTGCGGCTCGCGCAGTGCGCTGAAATTTAGCGGTTCTCTGCTGAAAAGTGAAAGAGGTGGAACAAAACGCTCTGCCTTTGTGACTGGTGACTTTTGAGGTTTTAGACAAGTCAGGGAGGCAGAAATATTGTATTACAAACTTTGCAAAACAGTGACTTACGAGAACTACAGTGACTTTGGTAAAACCCTGCTAGGGTTGAGAGACTTGTGTGTTTTATTTTACGAACTGAGTTGTTGGGTCGATTCCCGCGCTAAAATTGACAGATTTAGCCGCCCCATTGATGGTGACAGAAGATCGCGAGGACTGACAACATGACAAGTTCTGCGAAATCTACAGATGCCGAAAAGTCAGATGTTGAGGTAAGTTCTACCATTTTATTTCGTGTATATTTGGAATCCAGAGTACACCAGTAATTCATAATTAACTTCTGACAGAACGTTTACTCATTGCTCTAGTCTTCAGTTGTAAGTAAAATACAGCACTACGTCCTGAAGAAGTACGCTATTCCTAATTATTATTCTGTCGATCTATGCATAAATTAACTATGCGTGCATAAAGGGACACAAAACTTGTGTTGCCGCGTTCTTGCAGAGCACATTTATGAATTATGAACCATGTAGAAAAGCTCATGGAAGTCCAATGCTCTCCCGTCTCAGTCTGTCTTTGTGCAATCAGAGACACAGTCCATATCTGATATATCTGAATCATATCGCAATTCGCAAACAATTCCTAACATTGATAGCGCTTTATCGATTCCTTGTAACCACATTCATTGCATTCGTCGCTATACTATCATTCAATATTTCCTTTACAAACTTCTGCGTGTAAGCAAACACACTACACAGTGCGCATTTATATTCATGATTACTGAACCAAATCAGCATCACTACAATAGCAACGCCAACACAAACGAACAAGACCACCGAAACAAGCCACCATCTGAACTGATTTGAGTTACAATCGCCAATGCGCTGAGCGAGCTCAAATGGCACCGCTATCTGCATTGGTGAGGAGTATGAACCATCGTATATTTTTTCCTGAAGTGTCTGCAGTGCTTTTGGGCACAGTGTTCTGTCCTGTGTAATGTGTGCTGTCGATCGGTAAGATAGTGTCACACAGGACAGAGGGGCTGCAGAGATAGATAGATAGATAGATAGATAGATAGATAGATAGATAGATAGATAGATAGATAGATAGATAGAGAGAGAGAGAGAGAGAGAGCGAGAGAGAGAGAGAGCGAGAGAGAGAGAGAGAGAGAGAGAGAGAGAGAGAGAGAGAGAGAGAGAGAGAGAGAGAGAGAGAGAGAGAGAGAGATGTGATGGATGAATATTGCTGACGCCCTCGAGGGACCAGAGTGACAGTGGGCGGTGAGAGGGCGGGAGGGGCAGGGATTGTGGGTCAGGGCTGTGCTATGTGGGTGGGGTAGGGTGGGAATACGGCGATGTCCTTCCCGGTTCAGGGTTTGGACTGTGTGGTGGAAGGATGGGTGTCAGAGGTTTTATTCCTGTGCACCTGATGGGATGTTTTTCTTTGTTGTGTATGGAAGAATCTCGCAATTTCTGATTATATACTCTTCAAATTATTGATATACACTGTGCTTCAAATCATTTCGTCTGCATTTTAATCTGAATTGTAATTGAATCTGTGATGCTCCTCCAACATTTTCGGCGATATGATAGCAGCTGATTTGTCGTGTAGCAACTTCATTTTGAGTTATCAATATTCAGCTTTCGGGTCATGATTCACCTAATCCTTATAATTTTGTTTCGCAATGTCAATTGATAATAACATTGCTAACTTCACCAAAAGACGTTTTCACTCCATCACATATTTATCGTTAACCGCAGATATCCGGTAGTCCTACCGATACAGTATGATGCATACACCATCCATTACCTCCCTACCCCTCCCTCTGCCTCCAGACAGCCCCCCCCCCCCCCGTTCAATGACCATCGTCTTCCGCTGCTGCTTCGGACCCCGTCCTCCAGCCCGGCGTCGACCTCGGTCGCCCATTAATCATATGCTAATGGTCGCCCGTTAATGGCAACGCAGATGGCGTCTGTTCATTACTGAAACTACATTATCGCTGATCAGGGTGGTCGGGGCACGGTATACCTGTGATAGTGGGGATTCAGAGATAGTTTGGGGCAGTTACAGTGATATAGTGGGAGTTAGGATGCTGTTTGGGGTTTTCGGGGTAGGGGGATGGGGAGAGGATCGTTTGAGACTATTCGGGGCGGGCAGCTTCGGCAACAAAGGCATTGAAGTTGCACGTGTTTTGGGAGGTGAGCATTAAAGGGACCCTCCCACCTTCAAAAAAGTTTATGAATTGGCATGAAAGTGATGTCGCTCGGCTCAGAAAGAGCGAAAACGAATATCTACCAAATTTCACCGAAAAATATTCACCGGTTTTCAAGATATTAGATTTTTACTTTTGTTTACTTTTTGGGATCTCCGCTGTTCTTAGCGACTTTATTTGGAAGCAATAGTTTGGCAGCTGAAAGTGCGGCACTTGTTGCGCGCAAAGCAGCATATACCACCGCGTGCTACAAAACGTTTTAGTCAAACATTTAAAAATTGTTAGATATCTGCACTGACGTTACACATTCAGAGGGGTATTCCAATGCATTAGCCCCTCTGAATCAAAATGCTGCAATTTTGAAATTCAATATTTCCGATTTAAGGCATTTCTCGATGTTGTGAGTGCCGAAACCGGTAATTGTGAGCCAGGGACCCCATTTTGGCTATCTCAACTTAAATCTAATGTTAAGGTGGGAGGGTCCCTTTAATTCGTATTCCGCCTGTCCGTGTTTTATGCGAAGCATCTCACCTTCCGAATGCACATCACAATAGAACCCACATCGGGGTAAATAGACTTTTAACATTGATTTTCCATGAATAAGCGCCGACACCTCCACCCCTCCCTCCCTTCACCCCCCCCCCCCCATTACTTCCTGGACCTTCCCCGCTACCACATCAAACATTGACCAGCCGAGGTGCATAAACTCCAAATCAGTCTGATGAGCTTCGAGATATTTCGCAAATCGGCCAATTAGCAGTCCGTGATTTGCATAAACGACTGCTATGACACCTCCCGCGCCCAATTTGGCGCCTAACGAGTGGGACTCAGTGACAGGAAAAGGTAACGGTCTCTTTTTAGCGCGCCGCGTGAAAAGTTGGCCGATCTGCAGCGGGGGGGGGGGGGGGGAGGACGGACAGTTCACTGACCCAAAGGGACAAGTTCAGTGAACCGATAACAAGATGGGAACTGGAAGTAGTCAGGCGTGAGGGGCGAGGGGTGTTTCCCCCAGGACAAGAAGCTGAATGCGAAAAGTCGAGTATTTGTGTGGCTGGAATTTCTGGTATAGAGATGAAGTGATGAATTTTGGTATAGAGGTGCGTTTGAATGTAACACGATTTTTTTGTAAAAGAGCACTAAATATGTAAATCGTCCCAGTAAACGACCGGTAAATGATGGTTTGACAATAGTGAGTTGTTATCTAAAATGAACATAGCTCGATTTCTACCTTATCATTCAAGTAAACAATCTGTGTAGTCTGACATGTAATTCTTTTTGAGGCATTGTTAAACGCTCCTGTCGAACATTGGCATCATTTCCGTTATTTACAACCCGAACAGCTGAACGTAAAAGGACAGTCAATCCTTCATTTTGATATGTCACGTACTTGTCAAAGCCGTCGGTTAGACAGGGACGCTTTATAGAGAATTACGCATCCAAAAGGTTGGTCCAGCTGGAGTGTTAATGTACAAACGATTTGCTTTATCTGGGTCAGTATCTGAGGGATCTATTTGCCAGCTGTGAGTTGTGACTCATATATCGTCAAGACCATGTAACATTTGTCAGATGTTCAACCGTCTCGTTCAATGGCAGATTTGTCACGGGGCTATAAAACAGAAGCTCAGCTGAAATGCCTTGTAATAATAATGTGGGATTATGGTAGTTGATAACCTTTCATTGATGAAAAGATTGGGCAGGGTAAAACAAAATGCTAAAATATTACTATCAAAATACTACACACCTGAGTTTGTGCTTGAGTGCTACATTTCTGATTGCTACACTTGCATCGAAGTCAAGTAAATGTGCACACACTTTACTCAAAATGTATGTATTGCAGCTTTCATCCAGTGTATGTACCTGAAACGATTTTTCGGTAAAACTTATAAGCGGTAAATCGCATTAAATTGTTTTAAACTGCTAGTAAAAAGTTCACTTTAGTCCCTCAGTCAGCCTGCCATCCGTCTTTTCTACTCTCGTCAACGATATCGCTGTCTCGGAACTCGTACTAGGCAACGTTCACATCTGACAAAAGCACGAGCGGCGTCAAAATCCCCGCTGTGCAACTGAGGGCTAACGCTGAAAGTTGGAACTTCCCGAAATGACGGACGCTTCAGTGCAGTATTGATTCTTTCTCCTTCCTATGAAGGTGCCGCGGACACGGCCGACTCAAACAAACTTTACGCGTGTTTATGACAGTTTTTGAAAAATAATTATCCAAATCTCAACGTGTGGGCGTCGTTTACACGCTTGGTGCTTGAGCTAGCGCTTCCTGAATTTTAAAAAGCAAATATATTACGACAGTTGTTATTTCACGCCTTTTAACATTCCTTGTGAGTTTTCGTCTTTGTTTCTTGCCTCTCGCTTTGTTGTTTTGAATTTTATAACGTAACGAGCACACTCGAGTGGGATTCTTGAAAGACTGGACGCATTATTCATCACACCCTTGTTAATCATTGGCACTCAGGCGTAGCTGAAATTGAATTCAGAAAAACACTCAGCCGTCTGCCTCTTTCATCGTTCCTCTGATCGTAATCGCATACAGTCTTCGCTATAAACCCATTGACGCCATCTTGGTCCAGTCGTTAAAACAGTCCGACTCAATACGGTCCGATCAAAGCCGCTCGCCGCCGCGCCGCGTCTCGGCACCCTTTTTCACAGATGTTTCCATCCGGGGTACGTCAAGCGTCACGCCCCCTGGGGCGCTATACTCTACCCTTCACATCTCTATCGGTTCTCCCGGCCATAAAACGATACAATACTGTCATCTGATTTTCACATGCCTGCCGAACCCTCGCGAATTGCTCGGGGACTATGGGCGAATGCTAGGAGAGTATTGGAGACCTCCTACGGTTTTTAACGGCACACAGGCTGGCTGGCCGGTCGGGAGAGGGGAGGAGGGTGCAGTAACGACCCACCCGTTCGACCTCCCCTCCACTCCGAGCCAGCCCCCGGCACCGGTGCGTCCGCTGCTTCCCGGGGCGCTCGTAAAAACGCCGTCACCCCTGTCCCGCTCCGTCACGGCTGGCTATAAAACATGTCTGTCCGCCGCCGCCGCCGCCG